TATTTCATCATGTTGCCTTCGGCACAGGAACCGCGTCCGCTCGATGGAGACTACGACAATTGCCGAGCGAAGCTGCAGAAGACGTACGTGTTGCCAGTGCAACCTCAAACTTTCTCTGTACTTACTGCGTGTCGGCCGCCACAGCTCGCAAAACACACTACTGGTCTACCACCCCGTGTGTGTGTGTGGCCCGGGGGGAGTTCCTCTCTCTCTTATCTCTCTCTCTCTCTTCAATCTCTTCTCGTCTCATTCTTCTCTCTCTCTCTCGTCTCGGCTCGGGCTCTCTCTCTCTCTCCTTCTTTTTCTCTCTCTCTCTCTGGTCTCTCTCGCCTTCTTTATCTCTTTCTCTCCCCTCCCGCCCCTCGCTCTCTTCTCTCCCCTCTCTCTCTCTCTCTCATCTCTCTCTCTCTCTCTTAATAAAAACTCCTCTCCTCTTCTCTCTCTCTCTCCTCTATCTCTCCCCCTTTTGTGCGCTGTGTGTGTGTGTGTGTGTTGTAGTGTGTGTGGGTGTGTGTGTGGCAATGTCGTGTGTGTATGTGTGTGTGTGTGTGTGTGTGTGTGAGTGTGTGTGGGTGGGTGAGCCTGTGTGCGTGTGGCTGTGTTATGTACGCATAGTTGCGCTGTTGTGTTGTGTGTGCGTGCGGTGCGTGCGTGCGTGTGTGCGTGGGCGTATGCCGTGTGGCTGCCGTGCGCGGCAGGGCGTACCGCCCTCGTGTGGTGCGTGTGTGCGTGAATGTGGCTGTGTGTGTTGTGTGTGATGTTGTGTGCTGTGCTGGTGATTGTGTGTGATGTTGAGTGTGTGTGAGGTTATGATTGCATTCATTGTTCACGCATGCGGCACACATGGACTACGTACACGCAGCGGACACTACACGATTGCGCGAGCTTGTAACACCGTATCCAGCGGTATTTTACATGAAATATCGGAAGTAGTTATCAATAAGAAGGACCAAAGATTTCAAACATGGCTGTCTCATTAGTATCTAGTTGATGGGGAGTATACTTCGATATGGACAAATGACATGCTCACTAC